ATTCATACCTGAATTGTGGTAAGCAAAGTGTGACATCCTGTAACAGGTAGGAATACATGAATATAAGGTCAGTAGCAAAAGACATCCATGTGTCACAGGCAATTGTTGGATATACAAGACTGTTCAGTCTTAGAGTTATTATTTAGTGATCTAATATTTAATGATTATTTATTTTTCATAACAAGAGTGTTAAAAGTTAATTATTTTAAAAGTGATAGTTATGACAAGTTTCGTTACATTACTTTGTACGAGTCATACGTTGTGTATGCAGTTTAATTGTTGTACCAGATTTTTGTAATATTATTGACATCATCTTACTTGAAGCTTCTAATTTTTTCTCATTATGTGTAATACTGTTGTTACTAGAGGGCTAGATATTTTTAGAGTTTTGTGTTGTGTGTTATAAATACATGCAGGTACAGAGAGCACGTAAAGTAAGTTAGTGAAAGTAAAGTTAGACTACATGATTGTCAGTTTAGTCATAACAGGCAATTTATAAAGTGAGAGTTTCACAGTTTGTATTGTAATAACAGGGATAAAGATAAATGATTTATCTTGTCAAAGGGTGTTTTAAAGCAACTGAACCAATCTGTGTAGACTTTGACAGAAAATAGACAATTATTTAAAGCTCTGGATACATCTGTGGTAACCAATAGTGTAATGAAGTTTTGTACATACATTTGACTTGTTTTGAATATATTATTTTAAAACAAGTAGATTGTGTGATGTGTATTGTTAAAAGTTATTGCCAACAAATCACAGACACCTAGAGTAAAGAATCCAGCCTTATAAAACCTGACAGCAATATAATGAAGAAGGATCTTCATGTGGAAAATCAACACAAGTCACATGCACACCTGTTGCTTACGCACCATATCCAGGAAAGGGACAACACTGTATGAATAGCACCTAGCTAGAGGAAAATGGTGGTTTCAGCATGAAACTTATGAATAAGGCTGTTTAAAAAGAAGTTAAAGCTTGCTGTTATATCTCTGCATATTGACAGTATCCTTACAGCATAGTTTCCTTTGCTTTATGTTATCATGTCCAAATATCACTTTTCCTTCCTACATGTTTTTGATAATAAATGTAGTGTACAATGTTTACGACAGTTTCCATTGGTCATTTCAACAGTCCAATCGCACAAAAATCCATAGATGCTGTATCTGGGGTCTTGATCAGTATGTCTATGTGTGAAATGGTATGAATACCCGTTTGATTATCCATCTGCTTGAGATACGAGATGATTGAACGGGAGGTATGACTGGACACCTTATTTGATGACCAGACATGGTAACATGGGCTAATTATGTGGTGTGGCTCCAAAAGACAATTAAGAGTGGTTATTATGAGAAAATTGTAACTATAGTATAAATAATTCTGTACGTTATGCATTGAAACTAAAATTAAACTTGTCTAAATATTCAATTCTAAATTATTAAATATAGTGAATAAAAATTTGATATATAAATTTTAATAACAGAATGTTGTAATGATCATATGTTTGGTAGTCAGACAACAAGTCAGTTGTGCATAAAGTATTAAGTTTAAGTATTGTTTATCTATAGAATTGTTAGAATAATAAAAATGTTTCAAATGCTGTAAAACCGATATAACTGTAAGGTTTAGCATTTTTACAAAACTATTATTAAACATATTATACATAAAGCTATACCCAATGTTTTATATCTTATAGTTCATTTTAAAGCAAGCAGGAAGAGAAATTAGAAATTCAACTTACCTGATATACATTCAAATGATGCAAGACAGCCCAAGTCAATAACAAGATTGCAACCATTACCCCAACACCTGCCAATGCAGCAAATCCTAGGTACTGCCACAGTAAGACGATAGCCAGAATAATTCTGATAGGACATGAAACAAGTAAAGTAATAAACGCAGATAACAGAAAAACCTTTTCTGCATCCACGGCCATTAAATTTACCAACTCGCCAACTGAAAACTGACATCTTGCAGCACTTGAGAGAACAAGACCCTGCCTGACTTGTTATGGCCCAGCATGGCCAGGTGGTTAGGGAGCTCGACTCGTAATCTGAGGGTCGCAGGTTCGAATATCCGTTCCACCAAACATGCTCGCCCTTTCAGCCATGGGGATGTTATAATGTGACAGTCAATCCCACTATTCGTTGGTAAAAGAGTAGCCCTAGGTTTCAATTTGATGAATCCCTGTCCCACCAAACATGCTCGCCCTTTCAGCCATGGGGATGTTATAATGTGACAGTCAATCCCACTATTCGTTGATAAAAGAGTAACCCTAGATTTAAATTTGATGAATCCCTGTCCCACCAAACATGCTCGCCCTTTCAGCCATGGGGATGTTATAATGTGACAGTCAATTCCACTATTCGTTGGTAAAAGAGTAGCCCCTAGGTTTCAATTTGATGAATTATTTTTAAAGAGATTCTGTTAAAATTCTGATTATCATTATTTTTTCAACAGTTCAACAATATTCATCTCATATGAAAATGTTAGTACAACAGTCAGTTTCTGTAGGAAAGCTCATTTCACAGAAAGTTACTCAGGTGTTCAGACTTTGAACTCTACATATCCTCAAGAGACAAACTGTGCACATGGAAAAAAAGTTAAAATGAGCATTGTCTTCTTTCTAGGCATTATAACGAAAGCTATCGCATAAATTTTACATTATTTTGAATCCACTTTATTCTCATAAGACCAAAAATATTCCTTTTCTTTTTTTTTATTTATTGTGTGATTTTTACATTTAAATTGTTCTTAAACTTAAGTCATTCTAGTAACTGGGTTAGAGTTATTTTCTACTTGATTATAAAACTTTACTTCAGAAATGTATACTTACCTCTCTTCACAATACAGAGCTAAGACACTGCCAAGACAATATGTGTGCATACCACAAGCCTTGGACAAAGTTCTCACCCCTACAAGTATTAGCATGTACTGTGTAGCCTAATCATCATTAAACTATATCCCTCTACCAATATTAAGGTTACACATTCTCCATACACAGTAAATCCCATGAGCACTATAATTTCAACAAAAGCCCATTCTTTCCTCAGCACTACTTTGTTCAGAGGAGCTTTTTCTTAGGAATTAAGAGAATTTTTTTGCACTTATTATTTTAAACTTTAGCTACCATTTGTAATTTAGTTTCTCTTTCTTTAATTATCTTGATTATGAGAAAAAGAGGATTCCAAATTTAAACATGTCAGTTAGAACTTTTATTTGAATTATCTTTAATGTGATTTTTCTTTTAATCTAATTTGTAATTTTGGGACACGTGTCCCAATGTTTGGGATAAGGTTTTTCTTTGACAGTACTATTTCATGTTGTTTTAACTCAGTGTAAGGGTTTTTTTAAGTACTCTTCAATGTTGTAATTAGACCAATGCATCACAGACAAACCAGGCCAATTTGTATAATCTAAAGAAAGAAAAGGTGGTTTTGGGGATCAGAAGGAGACATGAGAGCCTTGGCATCAGAAGCACCATATTTCAAAGACATAAAGGGGTAAGCTGAGCCTGCCCTGCATAAAGATAGAGGAAGACCCCTAAATGAATGAGATATAGGATAGGGGTCAAAACTCAACTGGAGAACCAACTCAGCTACCCTCAAATGAGATGACTCCTGAAGAAGAAGGGAGGTTGGAACAGTGAAAGGCACACTGGAGGAAGCATGTAGACATCAAATGTCCATAGAGTAGTGAAACGGTAGGCCTTAAGAATGTAACCTCCATGCAAAAACTCACAAAACAATGGGAGTAAAACCTCAGAATGGTGTTGAAGAATTTTTCCACAGCATTCTAATTAGATAAGATGGTGAGTAGAAAGATAGGAAGAAAGCACCAAAGAAACACACTAGTCTTTCAGCAAAGGGAATCTAAAGATGTACAAATTAGGAGAGTTGAGGTCCCATCAGCTGAGGGTTGACTCCAGAAACAAGTTGCCTCTAGGATACAAGAGAACCAGCTCTTGAAGAGAGGAGGGGCATTTGATAGTAACAAGGAGAAGGAGAGGAGGCAATCCTGCAAGTCTGTAGAGGATGAGAAATCTCATGGGGCCCACTTTTCTAAAAATGCAAGAAAACAAAGTAAACAGAGATGATTGCTGATGAACTGCATCAGCTCAAGGTTCAAAGAAAGGGTGCATTATAGAGTTTCTTGAGAGTAGAAGATTGAGGGAGGCAAATGTCAAAAAGTAAGGCAACCTGACGAAGTACATCCCAGAAACAAAGAAACCAAGTTAAATATGGTATACGTAAGTTTCCCTAGTAAAGCTGACAAGGTCATGATGTGAAGCCTATAAAAGAAGTATGGACATATAGTAAAGAAGTTTAGTAAGTAAAAGACAAAGATGAGTAGATGGTGAGAGAGAAAAAAAGAGAAGATGAGATCTCGAAGATGAAAGAAGAGTGATGAGAGCTCACACAACAAGTTAGCAAAAAACAGTTGGAGAAAAATGAAACAAAGGACACGGGAGATGTCAGAAATATGGAAATGTGAATTCATAATCCATAGGACTAGACAGAAGATGATGGCAAGCCTACTGAGCAATCAACATCTTGAGGATGTAGATATAAAGAAACTGATCCTCTGGAAATGGACAAGGTATATAAAACTGCATCCCACCTGAATAGAGACATTGGTTAACAGGGTTTGTTTGTCATCAAGCACAAAGCTATACAATGTATCACTTATGATGCACTCACCATGGGTATGAAAACCCATATATGTGAGCATTATAAATCCTCAAACTTAATGCTGAGCCCTGGGGGCTTCAAACAGATAATAGTCCAGGTGAGGGTGGGGAAGAGGGATGTCAAGGAATAGTGGGATCAAGTAATCCTCTATGACAGTGAGAGGTGAAATGAAAACAGAAGATCCCTGGATATACTTGCATTGATTGACCAGAATGCACTGAAGAGAAAGGAAGAAACAACAGAGAAAGTGCCTAAATGGATCATGATATAAACACCAGATTTCCACTGGCAGGGTGTTATTTGCTCTCAGGACCTCTGCTTTCTTTGTTCTAGACTTTGTCTTCTGGGCCCACAACCACCATGTTCAAATGTTGGATTATCATTCATTTATGAATGCAAGTATATCCAGGAATCTACTGTCTTCTTTTCACTCCTCATTGTCATGGAGGCTTACTTGATTCTACTGTTCCTGGACATTTCTCTCACCTCACTTGGAGTTGCATCTGTTTGGAACCCCAGGGCTCAGCATTAAGTCTGAGGGCTTATAATGCTTATATGTATATATATATATGGGTTTTCATACCCAGGATAGATCCATCCCACACAGTGATCTCTCTCCATTCTCTGGTGTGGTGTTTCAATGTATTTGCTCCCACTATGGGAGTCTATCACTGCTGCCTTTCAAAATTCCCCTCAACATCTAGCTTCCAGTCCTTTGACCTCCAATCCCAGACTCTACAGCACTGGCAGAGGAAGCTCTGTGTCTGGAGTGATTCCTATGGGAACTGTCTCTCTCACGATTTGGCCTTGTTTGCCTCCCACACTTATTACCAAAGGGAGAGGTTAATATTCTTCCCTGACAGCTCCTTCCTCCTCAAGACTTGGGCTGTTCAGAACGGTGATTGGATGCTTTCTCCATTCCAACTCACTTCACTTTCTTCCCTGTATGACCCAGATCATTTCCTTTGTCCTGTATGGGCTGCTCATTAGTATATCACTTGTACTGCTCCTCTCCAGGGCACTTGGCAATGTCTTTTCTTCCTGTGGGATTCCTCTTCCTCTAATCACTTATCATTCTACTTTAAATAGTTGGGTTATATACCTCATCTTGCTACTTATTCTTCTATGGGTGATGATAATCTTCTTATTTTTCAACTCCCTTTCCATCAACTTGGTTATCTCGTGGCTTTTTTTTTGCCTATAGCCATCAATGTTCCCTGTATGAGATCTTGCAGGTGGAGAACTCCCCTTCCCCCGACACATTAGTGTCACATTACTTACACCACATTACAGTTTCATCTATCCTGGGTTTTTATCTACCTTTAGTGCCATTCTCTACTCTTCAAGGAGACTCTTTGAAGGTGAGTTTTTTTAGTTTTTGTAAGTCTTAAAACCATCTTATTCAATCTGTGTTTATGTTTTGGAAAAAAAGAAACATACAAAGTGGCTGTTGTTGCCTTGCAAGGAATACTTCTCTCTCAAAATTCTCAATGAGTGAGTGGTAAAGGAAGTGTTTAGCCAATCTGCCCCTGCTAAGTACTCACTGCTGAGATAGAATTTTCCAGATGACTGCTTCAGAAGTTTGTATCTATTTTACCTTCCAGGCCATACTTCAGAAAAAAAAATGCACCAGGTGAGCATCTGGTTAGCACCTGCTCTTTCTAGTCATGGTAAAACCCATTGTGCTGTCTACCAGTATGGGACCTTATGCAGATGTGTTGATTCCTATTTGGCTTGAGCATTTCTCTGGTGTTCTGCCTCATACAAATTTCCTCTTTCTTTGAGTGGAGTGATAGGGAAAACTATTGCTTCCCCAATTCAAAGTTACTGGAGAGGTTAGTATAAAGAGTGCCTTATTAGATCAGTGTAATCCCACTGGTATGATACCAAGTCAGTGCATTCCTCAATGGTAAGTAGAGAAGGGATGTTACCTAAAAGTGTAGTAATGAGTACCCTACTACGTTACGAACCAAGTGATTCTGGTGGTTAGGCCAGATGGATAGTTCTCCTCAAGTTTTAGGCCTGGTATGTTTTCTCCATGCACCTGGTTATTCTAATACATATCTCACATAAGTGTTTCTCTAATACAGTAGGACTTGACTTATTGCCCTGAACACAAAACACATTCAATTTCAACCAACTGCCTAAAAGATAATAGCCAGTTGAGCAGTCTTAACATTTCACCCACCTATGTGACACCACAGAGAATGTTCTTTTGACAATACCTTTTGCTCTACTACCTTTATTGCTTGAAGAGTATTTCCTACATCAGAAGGATGCAGTGATAATCTTATACATGTGCGAT